CTGTATTGTCTCCCTTTATATTGTAAAGCGCTGAGCAACCTGTTGGCGCTATATAAATCCTCTATAATAATAATAATAATAATAAAATAATTATATATATAATACACCTTGGGTTGATTCTATAGTAGAATTTTTCATTTTCCAAAAATAATATTTACTTACCTTACTTAGCTTAGTGAATAAGGTGAAACCATGTCAGTGTTGAATAACTAATCATGTGCAAGATTAAAAAACAACAGGTTTTGTGCTAGGACATGAGTGAACAGTCTCTGCTCCTTTAGTAAATCACCGCCATTGTCTTCTAAAATCCCATTGAACAGACATGGGTGCTAGAATTCCTAGCATATTATTGTCCTGGCAGAGATATGAAATAGATAGCATTGCCAGAATACCTCTTTGTCATGCCATTCAATAGCTATGTATTGCAATGCATTCCTCCCCCTGAAGTACATCTGTACTAGTTTGTGTACTGAAGTGGAATTATTACTCCTGTGTAACTTGATAGGAGTAAGTGAATCACTGGTACATGCCTAACAAAACACACAAATAAAAAGGTACAGAAAGTTGAAGAGTCTAAGCCTATTTTCATTTCACATGGAATTCCAAATATGTGGTATTATCTACAGAGCTTATTGGTGTAAGAAATGCGTTCATACTTTAGTGAGAACCTGTCACACAGTGGAGCATACAGTTCCTCTTGTATTGTCTCTCCGTGCCTTTTTGTGGACTATTTGGTGTCAGCCCTGCCCAGTATTCTCTTGACAAACGACTCGGACCCACCTACTCCCCCATCTAAATAGCATATTCTGTAGTTCCAAGACGAGAACTAGGAGGGCTAATTGGTCTCCATGAGACAATGGAGAAGGTGAGTGCAGGACAGCTCCAAATTTCTGACATGATCAGCAGGTTTTTTGCACTTATTTATTTGTTTATTACAGGTACTTATATTATTATTATTTATACAGTATTTATAAAGCGCCAATAGTTCGCTCAGCGCTGTACATTACAAGCGCCGTCAATTTATGCAGCGCCTTACATATATATTGTACATTCACATCAGTCCCTAAATCTCAAGGGGAGTACAATCTAAGGTCCCTAACTCACATTCATACATACACATTTTTTGATTGAAAAAGATACTTTATTACATAAGTATAAAAAAATTGATACTCGTTATCGGGGTACATCTCACCCTATACTGCGACGCAGCGCACCACATTGCAATATAGTTCCAAGCATACGATAAATACATTCAATAAATACATTCACCCAGTGATGTGATGCCTGACGTGATGTGCGTGGTGGACGAATCCCCAGACCAACACGTCATGCATAACGCCGCTTACCCCGAGACCATAGCATCCGAAAACAAAGAACATTTCCTACCATTACAGAGTCATGCAAAATACGGATGTTACACTTTACAATAAGCATCGGGTGTGTGGGGGGGAAGGGGAAAAGGAAGGGGACACAGGCCCGAAGCTTTATTGAAGGGACAAAGACACGCAAGGGGGAGTAGGGGGAAGGGGAGATCTTCAGACGTCCTCTTCCTCCTTAAAGTCCATCAAGTCTCTGAGCAGACTGAGGATCAGTCTGCGGCAGTCCTCAATGGACATCCTCTCCCGCTGGTGGATGAGGCGCTTCCTGGCGCACCATAAAGCGTCCTTAAAACAACACAGCACCCGCCAGGCGCTGTCAATGTCCTCCAGAGAAAAAGTTCCACAGAAAAGTCCATTCAACACCCTAAAGTGTGTGATGGCTGTCTGTGGCACAAAGTCCTTGAGTTCAGGTTCCAGGGCCCTCAACAGGTCCTGAGCAAAAGAGCACTCCCAGAAAACGATACACATACTAGGGCCAATTTAGACAGGAGCCAATTCACCTACCAGCATGTCTTTGGAGTGTGGGAGGAAACCGGAGTACCCAGAGAAAACCCACGCAGGCTCAGGGAGAACATGCAAACTCCAGGCAGGTGGTGCCGTGGTTGGGATTTAAACCAACAACCCAAGTACTGCCAGGTGGAAGTGCCAACCATTTAGCCACTGTGCTGCCCACTTATCAAACAGATATAACAAAACACTTTCGATGGCATACTTCAAAGACCAAAAGGAAGAAAATGGAAGAACTTTATTGTTCGAAACAACATACACTTTAGGGGCTCTTGCACATGGGCCGGCTGAGCTTGTTCAGCATAATTCCTGGAGTACTTCTTCTGGCCCAGGCGGCTCTCATGCAGCGTACAGTCTGTCATGGACTTGAATGCCAATGACAGGCCAGGCACTGTACCTGGGCTACCCGGGTTGAGCAAATAAGTTGGGAATTTTACTGAATGGGTTCATATGGCCCATATGCATGATCCTTAAAAGGAGAGCAGTAAAATGCAGGCTTGTGCTATGGAAATGTGGCTGACACAGGATACCACATACCATGTACCCCACTAATCAACCCGTACATGACAAGTTCTCCTAAAAAAAATATAATTTCCAATGTGTCCTATTCACACCATACTGTCCATGTCAATGGATGTCAAAATGTTTGTCAATGGCCGTCAGGGTGCCTTAAAGTGGTTGTAAAGGCTCAAGATTTTTTATCTTCATGCATTCTATGCATGAAGGTAAAAAAAACAGTGTTCAGCGTCCCTCCCCAGCCCACCCGCCAATTCTTATCTGAGCCCCCTCCAATCCAGCAATGTTCTTGATAGCCTCTGTTGTCTGGGGTCTCTTCCTCCTGCTGTCAATCACATCCAGTGAGCCAATGAGGAGAGAGCGGTCGGGGCTGAGCGCAGCTCTATGTGTCTTATGGATGCATAGAGCAGCAGCTCGGAGACGAGGACACAGCAGTGTCCCCAGGACGAGCCGCTTTTGCTGGGGGCACTGCTTGAGGAGAAGAAGCCAGGAGAGCTGAAGGGGATCCGAAAAGAAGATGATTGGGGCTGTTCTGTGCAAAATCACTGCACAGAGCAGGTAAGTATAGACATGTTTGTTATTTTAGAAAAAAAAAAAAAGCAAGCTTTACTGTCACTTAAAAATGCAACTAAAATGAATGAAAATGTACAAGCATTTTCCATATATTTTAGCGCAAGCCAGTGTGAATTGACCCTCATAAAATAGATTAAAGTGTTACTAAACCCAGGACCCCGCATTCACTATATCTGGTCTCCCCGGACCCCGCATTCACTATATCTGGTCTCCCCGGACCCCGCATTCACTATATCTGTTCCCCCCGGACCCCGCATTCACTATATCTGGTCTTCCCGGACCCTGCATGCACTATATCCGGTCTCCCGGACCTTGCATTCACTATATCTAGTCTCCCAGGACCCTGCATTCACTGTATCCGGTCTCCAAGGACCCTGCATTCACTATATCCGGTCTCCCAGCACCCTGCATTCACTATATTTGGTCTCCCAGGACCCTGCATTCACTATATCTGGTCTCCCCAGACCCTGCATTCACTATATCTGGTCTCCCCGGACCCTGCATTCACTATATCCGGTCTCCCCGGACCCTGCATTCACTATATCTGGTCTCCCCGGACCCTGCATTCACTATATCTGGTCTCCCCGGACCCTACATTCACTATATCTGGTCTCCCACAGTACATAGAACATGGAAATGCAATCATTTTAGTAAATATAAACTGCTAAATACCTTTTCTCATCACCAGGTAGAGTAGTCTTATGACTTCTATCAGTGTCCAGCAGAGCACTGGTTAAAGCTTGTAGGAGTTTCCTTTCTGCTCTAGGAGGATGTGAAACCTCTAACCTCTGTCTGAACAGTGCTGATTGGCCCTGTGCTGATCACATGCACTCTCCCAAGAAAAAAAAAACCTCTCTAGCAAAACACACCAAACTGAGCATGTGCATGTAACCACGGATTCAGTCTGCATCAGATGTTCATTTCAACAAGATGAGGGGCAGAGAAGAAACGATCAAACAGCTTTTTTACACAATGCAGAGGATTAACCCCTTAGGTTCCACAGTGAGTATAACAAGCATGCTTTACTGCGTGGGTTTAGTAACACTTTAAATTTATTTCAAGCCAAAACTTTCTTTTTCACCTTTGTGTAAAGTTTGAAAAGGTTAAAACCCCTCATTTGTTTTCTTTTTTTGAGATGCAGTAATTTCCGTCAATTCCTGTCTCACTGAAAGTTCTCCCCTATATTCCTGTTCCAGTTAAAACTCAAAATTCCTCCCATTTCCAGTCTCGGTGACAGGAAAAACAGAGAAGGTGAATCACCTCAGTATGCAGAAGGCAAGATAAACCCAACAGAGGTTCTAACCATTCCCTACTCTGGCAAAAAAGGAAAATAATATGGTGTTAAGATACACTTTAAAGCAAATAAAACGAATCAGTTGAAGGGAAACTTTTCCATGCTTTGTGCTTTTGTTAATGGAATTTTATAAAGATGATGAATTAAAGAGTATGCAAACCCTTGTAATAAACTTCTCATATTTGCTTCCTTTTGGTCTTTTAAATATACCTTTAAAAGGATTTTGTTATGTCTGTTTGTTACGTGCAAACAATAGGTTTTGATCCTGCCAGAGATTCAGCGAGCTGATAACTTCCTGTGCTGTACTGTTATCAGTTACATTTTGCCAAGCTCGCTCCGTGAACTACTGAGTCCCTTTCCTCTATGCTAAAGTAAACCCCCACTGGGCACTTGTACCTACAGGCAAACTTATAATAAAGCGTAATCAAAGAATAAATGGTGAGCGCAAGACAAAAAAAGGAAAAAGTAAAGCAGCTAGCACAACATGGCAAACCCTCTGTCTCCACCAAAACAAAACACTATAATATCAATATGAAGTGCTAATAAAAATGTGTGTTATAATCAGGGGCGGACTGACCTTTTGGAAACTCGGGCTCTGCCCGAGGGCCTGGGGTCAGTAGGGGGCCCCATGAGATGCCCCTGGTACCTTTTTCATAGGCTTTTTTTGAGATTGGGCAAGGACACAGGGGTCCCATGATCCCCTATTGCCCGGGGACCCCATGAGTTGTCAGTCCGCCCCTGGTTATAATCAATGATGACCAGTGTGATTGTAAAAGAGAAAGAAAACATCATACAAAAGAAATAGAGAATAGTGAATACCAGGGTGGATTTGATTTAAATCTAACTGATTTAAATCACGATTTAAATCACTAGTCAGTAAGGCTTGATTTAAATCCTAGTTTTCTACATAAAGACTAATTCTTGCTGGTATAACTTTAATATGCAAGTAAATGAAGATTTTTAGAATAACAACTTTTCATATTAGTTTTTTTATCCCCAGTTTAATAGGTTAATCATTCATATTTGGACAACTTTTCTGTTGTACTTAGGAAGGAGAAAAATAATCATTCCCTAATAATAACAATTTAAATAGATTTATTCAACTGAAACAATAACATTCCAGCATCTGTGATTTGCTTAAACATCCATGTTTGTTAACTAATTTGGCTAAACAGAATATATATATTTTAAGAAACTTAGACTGTCAGCCCCTTCCTCCTCACACTTAGTTTCACTTTCTTCTTGTGCAGATCTATTCCACTCCAAACAATCAGAAAAATATTGTTTCTATTCTATTCACTGAACTTCTTGAAACTTAGCACTGAAGGGGTTGATTCTGTATTCATAGGTTTGTAGAAGTTAGGATGAAGGTCTTTTTCTTAACTCTGTTCATGTTATAACATTTTTGCTGTGAAGAAGAGACATGTGATCTCCGCTGAGTCAAATTCAGTTTTGAGAACTGCAAAAGTAAACCAAACATCTGTGATAATATCTTGTAGGCAGAGAAACTGCCCAATAATCTTACAAAAACCTCTGGAAGAGCATGACATTGTGAATGGATTCATGGAATTTATTTACCAAAAAAATGAAACATATACAGCCTTATTCTACATAATTAAAAAACTAATCTTTATTTCATGATGGAATAACCTTTGGATGGTAATATATTTTCCTCAAAACGCACTTAATTTAAAAAAATCCGATTTAAATAAAAAAAATCCGATTTAAATAAAAAAAATCAGATTTGTTATACCGTATATTTTGTTTCTTTATTGGAGTATTCACTATTGTCTATTTTTTTTTTTACAGTAAAGCTTACCTGTAGGTACAAGGAATATCTTCTAAACATGCACCGTTTCAAAGATATTCAGTGTCCCTGCAGTCAAAGATGTCACCGATGCATGCGCTCTGAAGGAACGGCATACCTGTGCCTTTCCTTCAGAGCTCTGTGCCCGCAACTGAGATTCCTGCGCACATGCGTGGGAGTGACGCCATTGCGGTGCGGCTAATCTGACGGCCAGAGCCCGTGAACCCGGGAGGAAGAGCAGGTGTAGATAGAAGCCCTGTAAACGGGGACAACATGTCTCTGGAGGGCTTCATTCTAAGGTAAGTCTTTCATAATGTGCTAGTATGCAATCCAATGGCTATACCTTGCTGAGGAAGTGCAATTGCACGAAACGCATCCAAGGAGCCATAACGCCGTGACGTCCTGCCACCAGGCTCGTGTTATAGGTCCGGTGGCCCCCTTTATTACATTGTCCAGTCAGTGTACTTTTACGTTTATTTATTTACATACCTTGAGTTTATCATTTTACCATTTACCCATGTGGATTAATAAATTACTTTTACCAAAATACTACACTATAGGCTATTATTTTTGTTGACTCCCCTGAGAGCCAACAATTCATTCCTAGAGCCCACACCCCTTGGCACAGGAGATATCCCTATATTGCTGACACCAACCTATCACTACCTGAGGAGAACGCCAGATCCAGGGTGACCCACCCAGCTCTATATCTGAGAGGCTTCCATGGTGGTACTCGGTGATTTCCCAAGAGAGAGACGACTACTGACCAGACCAATACCAAGAGGGGGAGAGTCCGTTATAAGCGGTTCAGCTCATCCATCCCATCCCTGAGCGGAACCTCTGATTATTGATTATATGCGTAAATAAGATACGCATCTGGTGAGTGCGTATTTTAGCTATTTTATCACCTCGCCACCTGGAAAATTGAAGTCACTTATATCTCCTGTAACCATAACCTACCACAGGTTGTCACCGTTTTACACATTTATTTTAACACACTGTGATTTTAACTTTTATCATATGTTCAGCTGGTTTATGGACTGGAAGTATTAATTTGCAATATTTTAGCGCTGCACTTTCTTTTCTTTTTAAGTAATCCATACTAGCATATTAAGACATTATTTTGCAGGGGATTTTTTTTTTTTTTTTTTTGGTAGTTTACTACTGCTTTAAGGAGAAGAGGTAAGAAAGAGGTAATCTGTAGTCCTGTCTTTTACTCCTTTAAAGATATGGTTTGACAAGTCGATGTTGTCACCCTCAGACAGGAAGTGTGCTACTAGCAGAATCATTAGGTGAAAATAAAGGGAATACATCTAAAAAAAAAAACCCCCAAAATGTAATACACCCACCACATCTAAGAACTGGTAAATTGTTCTAGATTGCATTTTAACTCTTGGATTTTGTTATACTTAAAAAAAAAAAAAAAGACTTTATAGCTCATCTCGTTGGCAAAAAAATCAAATGACAAGAACCTAGTTTTATTCCTCCTATAAACTTAGATATGTTGGAAAGTCAAACTTGGAGAAAACACGCAATCCTAATTCCACAGGACACAGAAACAACCCGTGCCAATGGCTTCACTCTCATTGACCTGCCGCTACCTCTCCTCCTGATAGAGGAAGATACTAGACAGAGCAATCCAAATAAACATTCATTGTGATACATCCAGCACAGTGTGAGTGTGTCTACATTGAGCTATTCATTCTCCCACACACACAGCAAACACCCAGCAGGTGTTGGGGACATATAACAAGAACCCCATATTGGTGACTGCGTGTGAAGGACCTTAGAGGGAATATCTAACATTCTACAATGGAACCAGACATTGTGGAGACCTTCCCCATTTTATCAGAAGAGAAGGAGCCAGTGACATCATTGAGACAAGTAACACACCCTCAGTGAAGCGATAGCTTCTTTTTAAGTTGGAAAGCTGCAATCATTATTCATTTGGCTGGAAAATGCTATATGAACAAGATAAACTGTTCAAAATAACCAAAAACATTGGAAAAATGGAATCTGTGTTCTTTTGAAACTTTTGTGTCCCTTAAAGTAAACCTGTACTCATCCTACCCAGCACCACAATATGCCTGCTATTGACTGTATTAGATGTAAGAGCTTCTATGGGTACCTCTAAAATTTAGCTGTTTCTCTTTGTTAATGAGGCATTGGCTTTCCTTGATTTCATGATTGAGGTCCACAAATAGTCATCCCCCTGTCCAAAGAGAGTAGCTTTATCGAACATTTACAGATATGATAATAATTAAATATAGCCAAACAGTTCTCCTGTGTGTGATCAACATAAAGTTGCTGATGATGAGATTCCAACCGGAAGAAAAAAGGTCCCGCTTTTTGATGAAATACAAAAGATACACAGAAAAAATTGGTCCCCCACTGACATCTAATGATCTTAGAGTAGAACTGTGGCCAGGGTATATGCATTCAAATATCGACATATTGTTAATAAGCAGAAAATAAACTATAAACAAGTTATCACTGACCAATGTGGCTGGAGGCACTCTGGAGTAATCCATCTTCAAAGTTTATAGCAGAAAGCATTTTAATTTCAGCAATTCAGCTCCCACTGTCAGCCTTCTAATATCTAATGTGAACACAGAGCAGGTATACATGAACAGAAATTAGCAGAGAGCTGAGCCCCTGCTTGATGGACTTTACTGCATCTCTTGTGAAATTTGAGGCTCAATTGCTCCACAGTGGCTGTAACTACAAATGTCAGTGAGAGCTTATTTTTAAGCTCATTTTATTGACTGTCGAGAATATGTAAACAGCTGAATGTCAATAGTCTTGTCACGGTTCTACTTGAAGTAATGTATATACAAACAGCAAATTAGACTGAATGTGTGACTTAGGATGTCTTCTAATTTACATTTGACCAGTTCTGTGTTTTGAAACTAAATGATGTACATTTTGCTGGCTAACCTGATGTTTCAGAAAATGCAGCATATGAATTCAGTAGGAATTATAAACATCCCTGTAGAATGGGACAAGACTCCTAATTCCATAAGTGACCCTACTAGAATCTTATAAAATGACAATTTGTATATTGGCTATTCTTATGGTGTATGGGCTACAGAAACATGCGCTTCCTTTAGCTATGGCAAACCACCACTGCATTTTAAAAACCAGGCCAATTCAAGAATGTGTAATGGTAAAAACTGTCAATGTTCAATAACTGTTTGAACAAATAGCATTTCCTTTCTGATCGCTTGCATATATTTTTTTTATTAAAGAGGAAATACATTACCAAACAAATAGTACATGGTCTGCAATATATTAGGTATTTGTAGGCCTAGTGTTAGATCTCAGTTCAAATACATTAATCCAATCCCCTACTACAGTAAATATAGTCCCAAAGGTAGCCACTGCACTCTACTTATGAGGTAAGTGCCTGGGTGCCCATCCACAAAGACAATTCACACAAATCCAAAAAAAGTTTAGCAGCACCTATGAGTGGTACAAAGGAGATAGGTCAAAGCATTTTGTTGTTAATGTTTCGATGGAGCTGAGTCCATCTTTCATAACTACAGTAAATATAGGTAGGTATGTAGGTGCTTATTGTCTGCAGTGCTAAAGAGAACATGGTTTCTTAAGCCACCTAATGTATTTACTCTGTAAAGTACACCGGAGTGCCGCAAGGCCCAATTTATAGAGTGGTGGTGGAACCCATAGCCACTTTTGATCCATTTATATAAATGAGCTCTGTGGCCTTTTCATTGAAACATTACCGACATTGTTAATTTAAAGAGACCCATATTTTTTGCAGCACTTGGAAGCCCAAGGTTCCACTGCCATCAGGGCTTCAACTGCAGAGTTTGTGTTTTCTCTGAGTTTTCTCCAAGTGATCAAACAAGGAAACATACTTCTTTGAGACCCTATCACAGTCAAAGCTGGTAGGTGGGTGTGGGCTTATACATCTCTTGGCTTTCCTTCAACTGCT